CAGTTAACGTGGTCAACAAATTTTTAGGGAGACACTGATGGCATAGAGATGTATCATATTGTCTGAAAGTGCTACACGATGGAACTGAAAAAGTGGGATATTTTTACACTTATCTAAAAGATTGTAAAAGCCTCTGATTATAGCAGCTCCACGCTTTATTTATATTTTGCTGTTGAACTGATACTTCTCTCACCCGTCCACCTCTCCCTAAAATGTTCCACTCCAGAAAAAATCAATAATGCTATGGGAGAATTGTACGGGCAATTGACCTACATTCTCCACTGCAGTTATTGGCGCTAGTTTAACAATGTTATGACTTGGACGCGATAACGTGATTCACGCCTGTGATATGAAGGTTTATAATTTATATGAATAAATTCATAAACAGGGCGTGTCGATCAAATAATTGGAAAGTTGTGAGGGTAAAAGGACATCGTTGTTTACAACAGTAATAAAAACTATACATGACTCAAAAACAGAAAAAAATGCATTTTTCTCTTATATGCAAATTAGATTGTCTGAAGTAATATAAGGCTGTCCGGAAGTGAAGTTCATATCAGAGATTTCAAATAGCAGCAATCTTGATCAGTTAAGCTATCTTAATTTTTATTATTTGATGAAAATAATACCTATTTGAAGGTAGTAAATGTAATATCCCCAAAGAAAAATAACAATTTTCTTCTCGTTATAAAGCATTGCTCGACCCGCCCTACGGAAGAATTTTGTAACAGCTAGAAAGCCGAGAAGGGATTCTGGACGAGAGCCCCTCCCCTCGAGAGGTACTGAAAAGATCACTTTTATCAATATGTTCCAGCGAATAGAAAAAAGTTGATTATTTTATAGATATAAATAACTCATATTCAAATGCTTTTTTTGCATTTTGTCTGTCGCTCTGCTGATTTTGAGAGAGAGAGAGAGAGAGAGAGAGAGAGAGAGAGAGAATTTGTCTAACGTTAGATTGCGAGGATGTGGTATTTAACTGCTATGAAATTTACATAACTTTCATGTCCATATTGAGTGATCAAGAATGATCAATTTGGCAATAAGATTCAGATAACAAGATTATGCGAATGACATAGAAATTGAGAAAAAAATCAATTTCAAGGAAGATTGCATTTTTTCTATTTTCCACACAATCCAAATGCAGTAATTTACCAGTTGACTTTATTTTGGATTTTCAACTGAAAATGTACTCCTTTTTCCCGTTTCTGAAAATAAAATGTGTCACTGATATCTTAATATTTTTTTTTTACTACAGATAGAGACTTAACAGTTACCTGTGTCCAGTCTCGTGAAAAATAACCTCTCATTAATACATGGAATAGATAAGTGTGTCGATCCTGGTGCAACTCAAATGAAAAGCGAAAGGGGTAAAAATTCAGTCATGGTTGTAGTGAGGCACAACCTACCACCGGTCTTATTCAAAATACAGTAGAATCTTTCTCGACATAGAGAGAAGACACTCATCATGTGACCTTAAAACAAAGCTGTTTTATAGTTGACGTGGTTATAAACATTGGATATAAACTAGTAGAGGAAGACAATTTTATTCTCATATGTAGGCCACAGTGACGGTAAAACGTCTTGGATTTGTTTCGATTTGCTTGTTATAATTGATATTTTTATCTTTTTGTCACACACTCATGTACGTATATGGGAGGGCCAGCCCCTCTTGAGATTTCCCATTGAATGAATTCTTTTATTTTCTCTTTTTCCTTTGGGAGGAGGGGGGGGGGGGGGGGGAGAAAAGACATCTGTGAAACAAAACGTAAAAGTGAGAGGCACGCCATCCCCCTTAAATCTGGCATTGAATAAGTGTCCAAATCATGAAATATGTGGATTATTTTTAGTGTTACTTTTTAGCGTAGGACACAAACAGAAAAAAATGCAGGGTGATTTGCGCGTTGATAGTTCAGCTTTCAAGTAATACTACATCTTAGA